TTTTGCTTGTTTTCTGCATAGATAAGGTATAATAACCAGATAAGACAACCTTAACGGTCCAGTGTGTAACATGTAATTGGGTCTATAAGCAGAAATGAAATATAATATATAAACTGTGTTTTCATTAGTGTATAATCACCTGAAACTAAGAATTGTTATATCTTTGTTACCTTAGAATGAGCCGTTTTATATCTACAGACGCGGGCGGGTCACTGTACATAGAGGTCGGCATGTTGAACCACCATGTTTCTACAGTAGCCCAGAAAGGACAAACCAAACAGTGGCTCTAGATAGAAACATTATGTAAGAATTGGTATTCTTTACAACTCAGGTGCAGTTTATTATACCATGATCTGATCTGGATCATATTTTATGGAGGAAATATTTTCTGGATTTCTCTCCACTGTCCTCCGGCTGCTCCGCCTCAGCTCTCAGTGGTTTAAGGAAGTTTCCTGATGGACAGATCGCTCTACTTGTTGCTAAAGTAATTGCTAACTGGTGTTAACTGTAGCTTAGCTTGTTAGCTAGTTTGCCTTGTTACATGAGAGTAAGAACAGGCGTTCACAGCGCAGAGTGGGAACTAAAAAGGCCCCATTCTTTTATTACAAGTCAGTGTACAATCAAAATGATTTTGAAGCTATTACTTTAAGGTAGAATAGTTGCATAATGTTGCTTTAAGAGTTAAATAAAGTTGCGTTGGTGAGTGGAATAGAGTCACACCTTGTGAACTAAGTAAACAACAGAGGGATTTTTTTATACCAGCAGGATACAGGTAGGACAACGGTTTTATGTCTGTGGCTTCAATGTAATCACTAGTAGAAAATGTAAAGCACTCTACAGGAAGCTTTATGGTCTCTCACTCTGTTATCAACGTGAACGTTGGCTACATTTGCTTCCTGTCATCTTGATTTACATAAAAGCACACACTGCCATTCAAGGCCAGTTTAAGTTGATGAATGCCAGCATACATTTTTCTTCCAACCTATGTGAAAGAAAGTGATGAAGACTTCAGTAATGTGACTAAATTTGAGGACGTAAACACATGTTTCAAATTCAACAGATGAAAAAAACAAAGCAAATGAACGGTGGAGCATTCAAAACCCACATATTGATTATGTTGTGAAGGTATAAGATAGGATTTATTATCCCAGGATCATAAATCCACACCCTTAAAGTGAGAAGGGCATTTCCAGTGAAAAGCATGTACTATGTACTGAAGGCTAACAGACACTTGGGCTCATCAGGTTCTTATGATAGTGAGTCAGTAGTTTAAACATCCCTGCAGTTGTCAGAAGAAGTTATTTACTTTGGAGCACTTGGCTGTGACAAAAGCCAACTGGATACAGTCAGCCACATCTCTGCAGTGCTTTCATCAGTCATGAACAAAACTGGTCAGCCATTAAACAAGTCCTCATTGTAAACGTGGGCAATGGGGTCTGGTTAATATGGTTTTGCCCCTGGAATCACTGCTTGTTCCCATGATGTTCCTTTAGGAAACGTCTTTATAATTTTGGTAGAGTCAAAGTCATTGCCGGAAAGCTTTGTGTACACAAGAGTGTGTGTGAAGGTCAGTTTAGAGTCACGTGTGACAGCCTGTGTGTGCTCAGGAGAAATAATGATTCCCTTTTTTTGTTTGTCTGTTTTGGGGTTGTTTTTTTTTTGCACACTTTTTATGCCAAATTAGATGGAAACATAATCCATTTAGAGCATGAATATTGGTATGATGAAACATTTTCTATGCTGATATAAAATGAAAGCAGCTTGTGACTGAGGGTGAATCATGTGCTGAAAAAAGACTGAAGTAAACATAGAATGAACATACTGTGACTGATTTCTGTGACGAAATTAGCAGATAAAAAATAAACCATAGAACTCAATGAGAGAAAAGGATAAGAAATGAATGAAAAAGATAAGAGTGGTGTGTAGTTTTAAAACACCAATGTAATGAGAAGAGAAAAGAAAAATACATTTGGGAAACTGTTTTTGTGTTTCGCATAAAATGTGTGTTAAAAAGTGTTATTGTTGAGAGAGAAAAAACTAGATCAGAGCTTAAAAGTGAGCTGTTGAAGCATTCAGCACTTATGAGGTGGCCTTTGCTGTTTGCAGTGCCACTGTGTAAACACGATTGTGGAACGCAGGGATTCCAGATGTTGCTCTCAGTCATTAAATGAGCTTCATACTGTGGGCGTTCTGTTCAACGTGTACAATACTCCGTCTCCCCAGAGAGAGGGGAAACTAAAATGTTCCTTGTCATTAATCAGGTTTGTAACATCTAGGCCTATAACTGTAGCTCCATAATGCTACGCAGCGGCAGATTACAGCTGCGTGTTGACCGTCATAAGCTTAGATTTCTCACATTTAGAGTTTGTTTTTGGTGTAACAAAATGTCAGTGAGGGCAGTAATGAAGATGTAGTATCCACATCGAGACACTGATGATTCAAATTTGCATATTGTTTTGCACATTGCAGTGAGTAGAACAGGGTTCAGTAACTGCCTTGAAGAGATTTTTCCTCTGACTCCTATTAGTCTTTTGGATCAGAATCGGGTTTATTGCCAAGTAGGTTTTCACATACGGAGGAAGGAATTTGCCTTGGTGAATTGTAGCATTACAATAAACGGAGAAATATAAATAAAGACAATAAAAAGAGACAAAATATACAAATATAAAAATCAGACCGTATGTATATAATATAATAATAATAATAATATAATATAATAATATAACATTATTTAAGTAAATGAATGAAGAGCTGTACAGTTTGCATTAATTTGCAAAATATTGTGTATTTGTGTGAAAGTTAGCAGAGTGAAATATAATGATATTGCAAAGTGCAAAATAAAAACCAAGTTAATTAATGTAATGCAGAGATTCAGGGTGGGTGGTCCTGGTAGACCGCAGCCTCGTGCCAGCAGCGTCCCAGATGGTGATAGAGGAGGTGAGGATCGATGATGGCAGTGTAGAAGTGCACCATCATCGTCTTTTGCAGGTTAAACTTCCTCTGCTGTACTTTTTTGGTGAGGGAACTGATCTTCAGACTGGGGAGTCAGACAGAGGGATAGTGGGGCTGGATTCCTCCTGTAGTCCACAACGCTCTCCGCTGTCTTCAGAGGGTTGAGCTCCAGGTTGTTCTGGCTGCACCAGGTCACCGGATATGAAGCAGCATGTGAACTGTTTACCTGTTCTTGTGTTCTTTCTAATTAGAATGTGTCCACCAAATAATAAAAATACTAGAAACTGTGGTGGCCGTGAAACGTACGAAAAACACGAATGCACTATCTACAGCCAGTGTTAGGTTTGTCCCTCCTGTAGAAACATGGTGACTGTAGTCTTAATTTTGGCTTCTCTGTACTGCTTGCTTACCAAATACACAACTGATTGATTGTTTGAGATCCTTTAAGTCATGTGCAAAACATTAAATATTTTATTGCTTCAGGGTCCTCAGACCAATGGCTCCGAGCTCTCCAGTGCTCCACATTAAAATCCAAATGTTATATCGGCTAAAGAAAGATTTCATAGAATCAACTAAGAATGCATGGCAAGACTTTATTACTCCTCCAGTTAATTGATTTCCACTGCATTTTTAACAGCCTTGTCAAAGCTTTTTTTTTATATCTGGCTAAATAAATCATTTTAGGTCTTTGTAAAGTCAGTTGTTTGGACTTTCCCAGCCCTCTATCAACAACAGAACTGTATTACTGGAAGCTCAAAGCCCCTGAGCAAAGTGCAAAGTCTCTACCCCTTATCCACCACTATCCACTGATCATTACACTCATCACAGTATCACAGCACCACATCACTGGCTTTAAAGGGACTTCAGAACAGCTGGATAAAGAGACATTGCTAAGTAATTTCTTGCTCATCTGTTTTGTCTTTGGAGATTTGTGTAAGTTCTAGTGTATTTGTTAAATTAACTAAAGCTTCGCATTCATAGTGTTCAGATTATGTATCTGTATTGGCTCTTAGATGTTAAAATTTGCCGTTTAATTTTACATGTGAACAGCTGTTAAATCTTTTGACACTGCAAAAGAAATACAGCAGAATGTGAATCTGAATGTGCACATTGTTAGAAATGATAGATTCATATTGTGAATTAGACTTTATTTCTCAGTTGTAGCTTTTCTGCTGGCATTCAGAGGGCAAAGTGCAATTATTTTTTCATTTAATTTAATTTAGTTTTGGGAACATTTCATGAAAGTTCATGTTTAATTAGTTTTTTATCACAAACATGAAAAAATAAGCTGAAAGAATTAGTCGATCATCTCTCTCCTAACCATAACTGTGAGTGCTTTCTTTGTCATACTTAATCCTAAATTAAACATCTTTAGGTTTTAGACTGTTGTTTAGACGAAACAAGACGTTTGAATGCATCACGTTGAGCTCAGTATTTCAATATTTTATGACATTAAACAATGAAATCTGCAAATTACTCAATGGTGAAAATATTCATTATCCACCCTACCCTACAAACATTTTCACAGTTATTTTTCATGTCAATAATATATTTAGCTTTGATGTATTAATTGCTCAGTGGTGCTAGATTAATGCCTACATGTAATGTCTCACATTGCTGTGTTCATACAGGAGTTTGGACGGTTAGGACCAGAGCATGTTTGTGACTGTGCTCCTGCTTCTGGTCACTCTGTGTGCCCAGGGAGGAAATGGTGAGGAGAGAGATGAGGCACAGAGACCCGGCCATGTTTCGGTGGTCATAGTGGGAGGCACAGGTGACCTGGCAAAGAAGTATCTGTGGCAGGGCTTCTTCGAGCTGTACGTTAACCAGGTCAAAGGTGCACACACCTTTTCGTTTTACGGCGGAGGACTGACACCTACTGACAAGGGAACACCGGTCCTCTTTGAGATCCTGAAGGCGGTGTCCTGCTCAAAGGATGTATCAAAGGAGCGCTGCGCTGTGCTTAAAGACCAGTTCCTGCGGCTCTCACAGTATCGGCAGCTGAAGACCCTAGAAGACTACCAAAATCTGGCTAAGAACATTGAGCAAGAGCTTCAACAAGAGGGTATGACAGAGGCAGGGAGGCTCTTCTACCTCTCAGTGCCAGCCTTTGCATATGCAGATATTGCTGATAACATCAATAGTAGTTGTAGGCCGACCAGCGGGGCGTGGCTGAGAGTGGTGCTAGAGAAACCTTTTGGACACGACTTTAGGAGTGCTCAGGTGCTTGCATCTCAGCTCGGGAACTCCTTGAAGGATGAAGAAATGTACAGAATTGACCATTACCTAGGGAAGCAGGTAAGAGAATCCTACACGGTATGTCCATGATTCTGTAGTAGAGATGTTTGATTTCATGGTTTGTTTTCTGCTTTTGTGAAAAGGTGGTTTCAAAGATACTTCCATTCAGAGAAGAGAACAAGAAGTTTCTGGATCCCATCTGGAACAAGCACCACATTGAGAGAGTGGAGATTTTACTAAAAGAGACCCTGGATGTGAAAGGTGATTTTAAAAATTGCATCAATACTATTGTAATTAATTATTTTAAGACAATCATTCGTATGTTCATGTACTCCCTTGTCGTTTTGTCTTCAAGGCCGTATTCCCTTCTATGACCAGTACGGGGTGGTCAGAGATGTGCTACAGAACCACTTGACAGAGGTCATGACCCTGTTGACCATGAGACTTCCCCTGAATCTGAGCAGCAGTGAGGAAATCCTGCAAAACAAGCTGCAGATCTTCAGCTCCCTGCTGCCTGTAGGAAAGAACCAAGCTGTTGTCGGCCAGTACCAAACATACCAAACAGAGGTTCAACAGGAGCTGAATAAGACGAAAGATCATGTCAGTCTCACACCAACATTTGCAGGTGAGGACTAACAGCTTTTCTTTTTTAAATATTATGATTTAATGTATTATTTACTGTTGAATTGTAAAAAAAAAAAAAGTGATCCTGTTTGTATATTTCAGCTGTGTTGGCGTACATCGATGATGCCCAGTACGAAGATGTGCCGATTCTTTTGATCTCAGGGAAGATGTTAGATGAACGGGTGGGATATGCACGCATACTTTTCAAGAATGATATCTTTTGTCTTCAGAACCACAACAGCGTTCACTGCAAGCCCAAACAGATAGTTTTCCACTTTGGGCATGGCCGTCTTCAATATCCAGCAATCCTTGTGAGTAAGAATTTATTCAAGCCAGTTTCAAAGGACAGTGAGTGGAAGGAAGTGACAGAGCATGGAGATGTCGATATTCTAGGTTTGCCTATTTCAGACTACTATGTGCAAACTCCAACGAAGCAGAGGGAAGCTTATTCAGAACTCATTTCTCACATTCTTGCTGGACGCAAGAATAGCTTCATTAGTACTGAAAACTTGCTGGCTTCCTGGGGCTTATGGACGCCGCTACTCAGTAGCCTCGCCAGCTCTTTCCCCCGCATCTACCCCGGGGGTGCCGATAACGGAAACCTGCTGGACATCCATGTGAAAGGCAGAGAAATTAGCTACAACAGTGAGGTGGTGATAATCAACAATGATCAGATGGGTGGCACGTCAGCAAACGGTTTCCAAGTGATGCAAGGCAAATTTCGTAGTGCTGAGATGATGTCTGCCTGGTCTGAGGAGCTGGTGAATAGGCTAGCTGCAGACATACAGGAAGCAGCGGAGGCAGCTGTACACAAGGACGGCGTTTTCCATCTTGCCCTCTCTGGTGGGTCCTCTCCTTTAGCTCTGTACTACAGGTTGGCCCTGCACCACTTCTCCTTCCCCTGGAGGAAAACCCATGTGTGGATGGTGGACGAGCGCTGCGTGCCAATGACCGAACTGGAGTCCAACTTCCACAGCCTGCACGACCATCTACTGCAACACGTGAGGATACCCTATTACAACATCCACCCCATGCCAGTGCAGCTCAACCAGCGTCTATGTGTGGAGGAGGACGGAGGGGCTCTGATGTACGAGAAAGACGTCAGCAAGTTGGTCAATGGCTCCAGCTTCCACTTTGTGCTGCTGGGAGTCGGCTATGACAGCCACACGGCCTCTCTGTTCCCCGGTAATAAAGTGGACGAACACGGGGAGAGTCTGGTGGCCCTCACAGAGAGCCCCATCAAGCCTCACCAGCGCATGACCCTCACGTTCAGTGCCATTAACCGAGCCCACAAGGTCGCTCTTTTGGTGATGGGCAAAGGCAAGCATGAGCTGATCACCCAGCTGAGCCGGGTAAAGGACAATCCAGACAAATGGCCTGTGACTGGGGTGAAGCCTACTAATGGCAAACTTGTTTGGTATATAGACTATGATGCACTTATAGGATAGGGGTTACATTCCTAACTTTCAATTAATGTTTTTGGAGCTGCTTTAATTGAACAGCTGGTTGGTGGGAAAGAATGTATGAGCCAGGACTTAAAGGACCCGTGGTCTGACACGTCTTAGCTTATTAACCACAAATCATATATACTGAGCATTACTGCTGCATATTTCTGATTGATTTCCTACCTTCTAACCAGCAATTAGCAATTAGAGTTTAGAAAAGTACTTGCACAGACTTGAACTTTGATCAAAATAAGAACTCCATTACAGCTTTTATTGTGTAGTATCGCAGTGGAAAACTTGTAATAGAAAGCTGGTTTAAAACCCAGTCCTTCATTGGTGGATTCATGTGCTTGTAAGAAAACATACATTAGACACTGTGAAAAGAACTCTTACATCAATGGCACTGCTGTTAAGCCAACTTAAAAAGGCTCAGATTGCGGATGTGGAGTTTTTCAACACATGAATTCACCCGCAAGAGTTGCAGCTAAATTTCCACTTTAAAGATCAATCAGAAGCTTTGAAAATGTGTTTGCAGGAATGTTAAGCATTTGCAATTTGTTGTTAATAAGTAAAAAACAACTTCTACGGTCCTTTTTTTCCTGACAGTTCAAACCTCATTCGAATCTTTTTCTGTGTGTGTGTGTGGGTGTGGGTGTGTGTGTGTGTGTGAAATGCATATACAGACTTTATATAGTTTATCTAAGCCTAATGATGTGTGAGATGAGTGAAAAGACACATGAAGTATACATATTTTCAGTTTACAAAGTACAGGGTATGTACACTGCCAGTACATGAATATTTGATAAACAAGTTCCAACCAACACAAAGATTTATTTGCGAATAATCCAGGTTTGTACGATCTCAGGTGAATTTGTCAATTTGCAGCTGTGTAATCTACACTTCTTGATTGTATTTTATATTGAGTGGCGGTGACCCACTGAATGTGACTGGTCCCACATGTTTGTGTGATAATAGATATATATAGAAATATGAACATTTGTTATTGAAATGTTTCAGGTAATTCAAAGAAATTTGGTGCTTCACTAATAACAAGCACATTCCTGACCTAAACACATCACATTCACATTCCATGTATTTTATCTGATCTTCAGGTGCTTTTTATAGATAGAGGCCAAACAAGAGCAGTTTTATTTCAAATTTAGGTTGATTTATATACCTTATTTAAATAAGGGGGAGTATTACTGACATTCAGCAGTCAAAAGTATGTAAAGAACAAGCTGAAAAGAGACTTAAAAAGTATCTGTGATGTACCTTCACTACATCGACAAAATAGATGAGCATCACATCGGCAAAACACGATGTAACAGACTTTTTGTCGTAGGACACAGGAATATTTATTTCCTGCATCTTGAAGTGTTTTGAAGAAGTATAATTTTCTAATTTACTCATTAGGTGTGAAAGTTGATTTGTGATTAATACATATGATATGAAGAGTAATAATTAATTCTGGCTGTGTGAATTAGTTATATCACTACTCTTGAAAAGAGCAGGTAAAAACAATCTACAAGTTACACTGGCTGGACTTTTCAGTTTATGGTTTTCTTACTAACCTTTTTAAGGGGATCACTTTTGTTCTGAAACAGCATCTGCACTTTTTTTTTAAACCTGGACAGCCAAGTTTCATCAATATAAAGCATTTGCCTTTTCAATTTTCCTGCTATGGTTTGTGTAATGTAGCTTTACTTTTCCAATGAGATAAATACCACTTTCAGTACTGTATACAGTCATCTGTTTTTGTATAATTAAACACCGAATCTACTGTGTAAAGAACATAGTTATTAGCAAATAAAACACATCTAAATGTCGATGAACAAATAAAAAGCAGTTATGACAATTGATTAAACATCTGCGTTGTGGTATTTGTTTTTTAGTGGAAAGTGAGCTTTAAAACGTGAGGAGGATTAAGTCACTTTCCCTCCTTTTTTCTTTTTTCTTCCCATGGTTTTTAGTTACGAGCTGCTAGTGGCATGGAAACCACATGAAATCTTAATATGTGGAGTATCCGATGACAATGTGGGGACAGCTGGACTGCTTTATCGCTCATTGTTTCTGCTCGGGTCTGTGACAGACAGCCTGTTAGTCAACCAGAGTCCTCCTCGCACCGTGAAAAAACCTGAACAGACACAAGCAGGTGTTATTCCTTTGAACTGCAAATTCAGCGTATGAATGATCCCAAACAGTTTTTTATAGGGAATTAACTTCACCTGTACTGAAAATAGAAGCGACTGTTAGAATAAGGGACATGTAGTACAGCTCAGGGGTGGTTTTGGCCTGTGAATATAAATATACAAGTGATTCTAATGCTGCAGTTTCTCTATAGACCTTAATGACAACAGACAGTCTTTTTCTTACACATGCTGCTGCTGTCAGAGTCAGGATGGCAGTGCATAATCCTTGTCCGCAAGTCAGCAGCCCGAACACATGATAGGCAGCCCACAAGCTCTGAGGAACCGGGTCTATTAATGTGAATATCACTGAAAAACCTATTGAAAGAGATCTAGATATGAATCCTTTTTCTTTGTGGCATCTGTGCCGTGTCTTATTGATAATATGTCAAATACTGTTTAAAAATGTGTCTGATGTGATGAGATCTACCTGAAGCTATGAAGGACAAGGCGATGGAGGCCGACAGGTTGTTCAGAAGAGGTTGCCTGCAGTATCTTGAGGATTTTGGCCTTTTTAAACAAAACAGACATCATGATTATTAACGGCACGTTCCCCCTCTTGTACAAATGACCCACAAGCCTCGATGCCATCACCTTTGCCTTAGTTACCTTCCCATGACGTAGAACTGAGGGACCAGAACAAGTGCCGTGAACACTGCATTCACTATTTGACTACAAATGGAACATCAATAAAACATAAATTAACATCCAGGGTAATTTGTTTCTATCAAATTAAAACAGAAGAGATGACAAAAAACAACAGCACTTACAACTTTAACCTCTGATTCTTGGGTATCCATCTGCTGCTATGATACGCCATGAAGATCAGCATGTAGAGGAACATGGATGTTGCACATTCAGGCAGACGTTTGCTGTTAACACTGTTCCTGGTAGCTGAAGAACTGCCAGCAGCTCCACATGTGAGCAGGAGGAAGGATTGTGTTTCACGCTGCACATGCACAGAGACGTCTGTTGCATATTGAAAGCCCAACATCTGCACACAAATTTAAGCTTAAAGATTAAGATTGTTTTTGGTATTAAAAGGTGTGATATAAGATTTAAGAAGAACACCCTGTACAGAGGTTTTCATCTCAACAGGAAAGTAATAGTTTCCTCATATTATGTGTAAATAAAGTCCTGTTCCGCCCTCCAGCGCTCCTCCTCTGTATGTGTCCGAAAGAACAACAGCCAGCAACATATCACCCCTGCCCCATATTGACACACAATGAAACACCCCACCCTTTATCTTTAAATCTGTCCTCTTTTCCATACTCAAGCTGTAGAGTCTTCTAGAGAGTCAAATAAACATCCAGCATGCCTGTCGACTACAGCGGGACGTGGGACATTAGCAGCAATGTCAATTTTGAGGGCTACATGGTTGCACTTGGTAAGTCACTGGATCTTTTTAAAGGAAGAAAATACACACTGATATTTGAGTGTTTTCTTAAATTGAATGTGTAATTATGATATGAGGGACATCTTTTTGTATTGTAAACTGAGCAGATTATCTGTAGTGAATATATTCACAGCATCATTTATGTGAATTAATGTGCATTTTTTTTTTGTCAATGACCTGGAGAGTAAGTGGAAGTTGAGTGTAAATTTATTTTCTGAACAAAGCGTGATGATGGACGTAGAAGCAGGGTAAAGTTCCTCTCGTTTTGGCACGCAGGCATTGATTTTGCAACACGCAAGATTGCCTCGATGTTGAAGCCCCAGAAAGTGATTAAGCAAGATGGAGACTGTTTCTCAATCAGGACGTTCACTACGTTCAGAAACTACGAGTGTTCATTCAAAATTGGAGAAGAGTTCACAGAGGTGACTAAAGGGATGGACAACAGGACATGCAAGGTAATGTTTCAGTGATCATTACCACACAAATGTAAGAAAATAAAAGCCTTTTTCATACAGATTTGTGCATACACCAGTTTTCTACTGTTCTTATATGTAGATTGCTGCATTTTTGTCCTTTATCAGACTGTGGTCCGCTGGGAAAACGATAGGCTGGTGTGTGTTCAGAAAGGAGAAAAGAAGAACCGAGGGTGGACTCACTGGATTCAGGGAGACGAGCTTCATCTGGTACGCAGTTAATATATATATACATATATATATTAGTGTTTGTGGCTCTCCTGATTTGTCATATGTTATGCTGATTTCTAGTATTTTGTCATGTACATGGAAAATTATAAATACTCATGCTCTCCCCTTTTTTTATGTTTTACAACTTGTTGTTTTCTCTCTTTAGGAACTTACTTGTGAGGATAAAGTCTGCAAGCAAATATATAAAAGGACTCTGTGATCTTTAAGACCATTTCAGACTTAATTCACAACGTACATCAAATGGACAACTTAATAAAAAAAAAAAGCATGTAATTTGAATATCATAACGTGTGGTTCAATCAATGGGTTAAATGTGTGGTTTTAACATTGCAGTACCTCCCCCGGACCACACGATGATGCTATAACACTTGTACATTAAATAAAGGAATTAAACACAAGCAGTTGTTGGTTTGTTGGTAAATTTGTGCCGCGAGTTTTCATTTTGAGCTAACTGTTAGCTTCAGCTGAAATATGTGTTACAAAGTTGTCACCAGCATTGTTAACTAACTCACTCAACCGCAGTCATTGTAAGTCATCTCCTTTTGTCCCGGTGGTCGAACAAAACCTTTCTTCACAAGAAAATGTCCGTAGATAAAGAGGAGGCGCATCAGGTAAGAGCTCTAACTTTAACTTGTGTGACAGCTCGTCGGGGTTACATCACGGTGGTTCATTTTAATCTGATTTAATGGTTTCTGTTTCAGAGGTTAAAGGCTGCGGTGCATTATACTGTGAGTCGTATTTGTCAGAAGATGGGAGAGGACCACCGGAGAGAGTTCAGCCGACAAGTGATAGCAGCGATAGCCGAGACAACAGTGAGACAATGCGGTGGGTGTCAGCGAGGATACACTTTATATTACATTATATCAGTCTAACGTTAGTATATCCTGCTGTTTGGATAGAGATTAAATAGTACATGTTTCTTTTTCTGGATTTGTTCAATAAAATACATTTTGTTCAGAGTTATCTGCCCAACAGAGGGAGTCAAAGTCCAGTTCTGTTCAATACAAAGGGGCTTTATTGGCATGGAAACAGACGATTAACAGTGAAGCCAGAGCAAGTATCAAATATATACAGAGTGGTAAAAATGAGTAGAAAAAATACAAAACTATAAACAACAACAATTGTGTATTTGTGTGTGTGTGTAGGTCAGTATACCCCAACCTGAGGGTCGGGACCCCCATTAGGGGTCACCAAAGCTTCAGTGATTTTTTAAGGGGTGTAAGAAAACTTAGAAATATACACAGTAGTATATCTCAGGATTTTAAACACTGAATTTGTCACAAATTAATAATATGTATGATTGGCAAAAAATAAATAAAAAACATAATACAGACAGAATTGTATAAAAAGTTGCCAAAAATATGAGGAAAACTCATCTCTGGGTAATATTCACTGGACATAATCAGCTCAACAATCATCTAAATTGCTCAGTCAGTAGTGGTAGTGCTGTGCATTGACTATAATCTGAAATACCCATAAAGTATGTCACGTAGTCAGGGTTTACTCAATGATACAAGAAGGGTCTTTTAATGGAAAAGGTTAGGAAACACTGATCACTCACTGTCCCTCAGGTTGTGGCATGTTAATACATACTGGGCAGCAAGGTGTGCCCGCTCTCCTTCTCCTCTTTATAAATGTAACATATTATAACAACACATCATTACAAAGCATCATTTATACAACCCAGCAGCAGATCCAGTCACACAAATCAACTGAGTTACTGGTTTATTGGGTACATTTGGGTACATTTGTACATTTTGTCCAATCCAATAATACATAGCTTTGTGTTTTCTCAAGTGTTTTTCCAGAACTTTCACACAGTTGTTTACCAGCATGCATCTTGGTACAATAGTTGGTCTCAATCGGCATCAACTCAGTCTACCGTTACTACAGTACTGAGGTATCCTGTTGCTCTAAAGGCCACAGTATACTTGCCGTAAGGGTTTAAAGACGCTGACCATGTAATCACATTAGCCCTGGTTTGAGTTGCAACACAGGAACCTGGCTGAACCTTGTCACCTCATTTACTGTCAGCTCTTATGTATGTAAAAAAAACAAACACAAAATGTTCCCAAAAATAGTATAAAAAAAACAAACACAAGAGACCCGCTCTACCTGAAACGTGTCAGTGTAACTTCTGTTATGATTTGGCGCTATACAAATAAAATTGCATTGAATTGAAATAAATCAGAAATCCTGCCGTGTGCTTCGATGTTTTATTTTTAACCCCTTTTGCGAAATTATCCCAAAATGCAAAGTAAATCCAGTAATGTAATACAAAAAGTGTTATATACCACACACACACGTAAAGGGTAGCTACTACTGTAATTCCTACAGACGTACAGCAGTGCTACACAACCCTTCTTCTGCATTTGACCACACTAACCACTTCACATTGTATGCTCCATCCATCTCTGGCAATCTGCAGATATATCCAGGCAGCATTCAGTGCATTGTTACCACACATAACGTACTCCTCTCCGTCTCCCGGCCAACTCTTGTGTCTGGCTGAGTTAATGTTCGAATATAGATCTGCTCGTTTATATAGATTATATGAAACTGAAAAGCTAAATGTTGTTGATGCAAAAGATTGCCACCTACTTAAATTTTGAGTTATTTTATTAAAAACGTGTAAAACGTGTGAAAAATAGTGAATTTGGAAAGATGTGGTCATTGAATAAATTTATCCATCCAGTTTAGTCCAGATAAACTCCTGCTGTGTTGACTGAAGAATTTATATGTGTAACTAACTACAAAGTACTTTAATATTCTGAGGCCATATGTATGTAAATAGAGGGTGAACGAAATATTAGAAATAATGTTCAATATAATTCCATTTCATAATTGCCACAGGTCAGTCTAAAGTAAACATCTCACTGTTGGCTTTTCCCCAGATATATTTGCTAAAGACCTGGAGGCCTTTGCCAGGTAAGAACCTTTTATTTTTGTAACCATATTAACAGATAAATTAACCCTGAACTGTCTTGTACTTTAGCCAAAATACCTGATTAGATCTTTTGTTCAATTGTCTTAATCCAGCATATAGAAGGAGAATAATCTCTAACTCTCTAATTTCAGGCATGCTAAAAGAAGCACTGTGTCTACAGAAGATGTGAAGCTCGTAGCTCGTCGCAGTACTGCACTAGTGAGTTATTCCATTGTCAGAAAGGAATTGTACAGAGTTTTATGTCCTATATGTATGTGTGTAGTAATTTACGAGCCACCTTTCATCCTCATAATACAGAAGACTGGAACTGTGTAGGGGTATATATATTCTACAGCAGACAGCAAATTGAATGTTTAATTTGCCTTTATTTATTTCAGTCCATCTACATACAAAATAAAAGCGAGGAACTGAACCAGGAGCAGAGGGATTTGAAAAAGAAGAGTACTGGGAAGAGGAAGAGCAGAGACACTGAGGAGGAGGAAAGCAGACAATAAGGACAAGACACAGGCAGGCCCTGCAGTGTCTCACTTGTACCCAACATTCAAATAAACATGAAGGCTGACTAATACATGACAGTGAGTTCAGTGTCCTAAAGGTGCTATAATCATTCTTTCATGGGAATTATGCATTTCATCTTTAAACTAACCTACAGCATGAGATCTAATGTCACATTACAGTACTTTTATTTTACACTTTCTGCAGATTTAGAGCAAATAACTTCCGACTTATCCGTCCTGGGACCTGCTGATGTCAAAATGTAGTGCAGTTGGCACCGGTTTGACATTCAATAAAAAAACGTATGAACTGATACAAATGTAGGTTGTTTTTGTAAAAGCACTGTCAAAGTGACACGGACTACAAAATCTTCTATTAGAGCAGTTTAGTCATTTATATAAATTATAAACCTGCCAAATTTCCCCAAAATATAACAATTATCTAAATATGTGGGGAAACCTCAAATGGACTTAAGACTGTCAGGCAAACTATCCATAATGTACAGTCAGTGACCACTTTATTAGGTACACATGTGCAATCTAATGCAATCCAATACACCTGCCATAATGCCACCTTTATGACATACTGAGTGCTTTATATTCAGGTGTCTAATATTCTCCTCTGTGTACGTAAATAGGGATGGAAACAAATCAGAAAAACCTCAATATACTGTAGCCCTGTAAGGAAAACATCACCTAAGACTATGAACTTAGAATTAAACTCTCAAATGTCAAACAATGTCAACACAATCATATTACAAACTTCATAAAAATACCATTCATAGCAGAACAGTTGTTAAATTGCAAGATTGTACAGGCGTACCTAATAAAGTGGCCACTGAATATATAAGGCAATCTAAAAATCCCCATCACTAATTTCACAGCTCAGCAATGTGCCATTAGTTCTTACTACTTGAGCCAAATTAGATTTACATTTTCTTTTTAAAACATTGCTTGCGAGGTGATGCCACATTACTGAGCTCATCTGTTAAAGTTCAAATAAAGACAATGATTCCCCAAGAACTTCCCTCTAAAAGTAGCTGTGAGTAATGGAAAAAAAAGGGATAATTCACTCTGACAAGCCATCAAAAGCAGCAAAAAGACAGGTACTACCCCATGTCATGTCTGAGAAGGCCACACACTGAAAGTGTTGGAACTTCCGTCTTCGTCCTTCAGAACAGACTTCAGTCAGGGTTCAAACGGAGACCTCGACCAGCAGAGCCCAAGGTCCCTAGATATGTGAATCGAATTAGATGTTTTTTTATTTGACAAACTGACTCAAGTAATATCAACTAAGCATCTATTCAAATGAACTTTATTAGAGAACTCCCTTCATTTGACATGTTTTTAAAACACCTCACAAACAACAAGAGCTACTGGGAACCATTGGACACACCACTCCACGTTCTCACACTATCACTCGCGTCCCCCAGAGTCTTCAGCAGGTGTCATCCACATCAAGTACACACTTACAGATCAGATCAATAACATGAAAGCACACACCATACAGCATTCAAATCAGATAATATAAGCAATACAAATATTCATCACAACATTCCACTACATTTTGATATTTCTGCACTTGATCGACATACTTAAGAGTAAGGAAAAACTTGCAAAGATTAAAAAAAAAAAAAAATCTTGAAGTACTAATTAATGAATGTCCATGTTAGGGGAGGCGCTCGTAGCATCTGCAGCTTCCACTCACACACTCAAAAAGCAGTCAAATTGGGCTCTTTCACCGCACAACCAGTCGGTTTCACGCGTCTCTCCGTTCGCTCACTCATCGCTTCACTCTTCGCCACAAGCCATCCTCAATCGCACTCATCAGTTCTTAAAATGTCAGTTGCGCAGTTCTTTCCATTTAAAAGTGGATAAAAGTGAAAACACCCACCGTCTCTTAGAACATGCGGAGTGAAGCCGTTCTTTGATGGCATAGCATTTACAGGTGGGAAGAGGGAGAATGATACCGATATCACCCCAAGAATGCTGCCAAAGAGGAACTTCCTCACAGGAAAATGGAAGAGAGGTGAACTGCAGAAGAGATTTCAATGAAGGCTTTTCCACAGAACTTGACTGCAAATAAAGTTGCACTTAAAACATTTAGGTTTCAACCAGATTCTTCCCAATGCAAGATTGCCTTTTAAAAATCGATGACAAAGCCGGATAATGGTGAACCACAAACATTCATGCATTTTCAAAATGGTTATCACATTTCACAATACATGCATTAGAGAATCCAGTTGAAATGGATACAAACAAATGAGACGTCAAAAATAGCACTTTAGTCGGACATCCTGGTAAACAACTCACTTCAACACTTTCTAAATTAAATCTTTAGCATTTTTTCCAAATGTACAAAACATCTTCCACAAAAGTGTTAAGTTTTCAGATACGCATCAACACCAGAAATAAACTTTTGAAAAGACTCATCTTTGTCACAATACTTACCATACAAACACTTAACTTACATACCCCACCCAGATGACTTTGACTCCATACTGGACCCAAAACCTGAGCTAAACCCACTCCCACTGGTTGTAGAGTTTGACCCTGTTCCCCAGCCAAGACTGGCTGAGCTGGTGCCGTAGTTGCTGTTGCCTGTACCGAATGACTGACTCTGGTCCCTACTAGAGCTTGTTCCACTTGAGGTACTGCCTGACGTGGATGTCTGCTGTTGGCTAGCCAGCATACCCATCATCCCCCAACTACTCTGCAGAGCAGCCTGAGCAGCAGCCATCATAGCAGGGTTCAGACTGAAGGAACCAAAATTAGCCAGACTACTGTTAGTGCTGCTTCCTAACCCACTACGGCTGCTACCAAATGCTTGAGCTCCAAAACCATTCCCAAACCGTGCTGTACGATCAAACTGCCTATTTCCATGTTTGGGCTCAGCATTTGAGATGTGAACGCTGACGCCTTTGATTATTAGGTCCTCTCCACAGAGAGACTGGGCAACCTGTGAGGGGGCAAAAAAAGAAGAAGACACAAATCAGGTCATCTGGGCAGGAGAACGGCTGCGACAGGAAGTCCTTTCCACACATCTAACGTTTTACCTGATCATCTGCAAATGTTACAAAGGCAAAAGCACGGAACGGCTTGGGGATGAACACATCTGTGACTTCTCCATACTGCATAAAGAACTGCCGGAGGTCATCTGTGGTCATGTCCTCTGTGCAACGGCCTACAAACACTTTCCGGCTCCTCAGCGGCTCATCGGGACCTTGCTGTTAACAGGAGGGGAAGAAAAAACACACAAGTTACAAAGTGTTGAAAATAAATGTGTACATAGTTTTAATTCCCATAATGTGTGGGTATACGCATGGACATTACCAGATTCACCTTCGAGTTAGGGAGCTTGCAGTCACACCATCTGCCGTCGATCATATGGCGCTGGGAGATGACCTTTTCTTGAGCCTCGTACTCCGTGAACCTCACAAAGCCAAATCCTTTAGAGTTTCCCGTCTTGGCGTCTCGTTTTACCTGAGAACAAAACACAAACACCGAGCGATGAACATCAACCGTGACCACAAACAACACAGAGCAGTGTGTGTTTTATTAACGTTCTACCTGAACCATGATGACTTCTCCAAATGTGCTAAAGTAGTCTTTGAGGTCCTGCTCGGTTGTTTTCCAGGGCAGACCGAGTACAATCAGATCAGATGTCTTCATGTCCCCTCTCTTCATTTTCACAGCTGACGACGCATCGATTTCCTCCATTTTCCTTTTGTTGTCTAAAATATGAACAGACAGAAATCGTATTTTAACCTGACGGACGGCCACGAGGTCGTGACTCTCTCTGCTATCACCGCACTGACTTTGTGAATAATTGACAATACCAAACAAATACAATCAGTATTTTTAGTTTGTGGCCGTTAATAAACTTTTAACATGTTTTGTTGGTGTGAATATTTGTCCATAGACTGAATATAACACTACAGACAGGTTGCTTTTAAATAAAATCAACAGCAGATGGATCCTGATACGTTTGCCTTTCATATCAATGATTACGCAGTTGACAGCATCATTTATTGAGTCTATCTAGCTGAAAACCAAAGTGTTACATTACACCAGCCCTACAGTAAATCCTCCTTTAAAGAGGTGTCAACAGCTTTAAGGTAATTTGAGAATCTGTACTTGGACGTGCTGGTGAATTGTATAGCAGCACACTCAGGTTTCATTACAAACGCCTCCTGGTATCAATACAACACCCAAAAAAACAAACACATAACCTCCACTGAGGTGACTTTAAGCTGGGCAGATGACCCCTACACTAACTGCACAGAAACCGCTTTTGTTTTGTTAATTTTATGAATGGGTTTCGGTGTGCGTGGACAAACAACCCGTCGTGTCATCCTCCTCTCCCGAAGCCGCATCATGAATTATAAACCGCGTTACAGCCGCTCACCTGTCGGGACAAAGACAAACACGAGTGAATGCAAAGTGCTCATCATCTAACGTTACCTTTCGGGTAGTTGACCACGTACACGACATTTCCCCATCCGTTTTCCGGAGCGTGTAGGATCCCCTCCACCAGACGCACCCCCCTCATGCACTGGGACACGGGGCTCCTGAACCGGAGGCCACACGCCCCTGGAAACTGCGCGGCCACCGTAGAAAGCAGAACCGTGCCGTCGTCCTCGGATGGGATCTCCATGGGTTCCTCGTTTTCCTCCTCCGCCACTCGGATATAAACTTCGGCCATTTTGCCCCGCTCACAAAAAAAAATAAAAATAAAAATAGAATAAAAAAAATAAACTCCTTTCTTGAATCAAAACAATGCTTAAAAAAAAAAAAAGTTAGCAGTCAGCTAGCCAGTTGTCCACAGCTAACGTTAGCCGATGTTGCTAACGAGACTGAATGAGTCAGGCTAACTGTTTGGATATACTTGAGGGGGGGAAAGACGGTTAAAGTCTAAATACCACAACACAAATAGCGTGCGGGTGGATTTTAAGTTGTTTCTTGTTTCATAAATAAGACCGCCGCTCGTCCTCCGCTAACGGACGCGCTTCGACCTCACCGTTCCTTTGTTCGTTGGGACGGTTGAGCTGTGTCGTCAACACCGGACGACGACCGTTCAACTGTGCCGCTAACTGAAAACTGCGCACTGTCCCTGCGACTAGTCCGATAAAACTACCTCCTCCTAGTGGCTTGCGCGGGCCGATGAAGTTATCCGACTTCAAGGAAACGCTTGTCTCGTCCCAAATGCGCAGAGAGACGTAGAGAGAAACACAGAGGGGAATATTTTCTTTTTCCACGAGGCGAGAAGAGAGACGCAGACGTCAGGCCCACCAAAATGGCATTATCTAAGCGAACGGGAACTACGTCATTAGAGTGGACGGTTTCATGTCATGGCGGGTAATGCGTCTGGGTTGTGTCGTTGATGTGGACCGTCATTTAATCATTCGTACGTATATGTTGGTAAAACCACAGTTGCTTCTATGTTATGTGTTCGATTTCGTACATAATGTAATACAACTCGATGAATTGTATTGTTTATAATCCTTTCTATTTCGCCCCCTCCCCCCCCCTGTGACGGAGTGTGGTGGGTCAGTCCAGTGTGTCCACTACAGCAGCTTCCGTTAGTTTGTTGTTACGTTGGCTGGTAGTGATGGGAAGATGGCGGTTCACGTTGGTCGCACACACTGATATTCAGCTTAATACATCCGAGAGAAAGAGCTTTAAAGGCGTCTCAGTTACACCTGGAAGGACTCAGCTTCAAATTAAAATGTCATTCTTGTTTTACCCGTTTTTCAGTCACTGACTCCGTAATTGTCAGGCGAATGTAAATGTAAACATTAATGGCAAAGTAGAGTCAGTGTGTCGGGTTAGTTTGGTCTGGAAATGAGACAATTTGATGTGTAAAAGAAGCTGACATGAGACCCATCTTTACATCCTCACTGTCATTTAGTTTCACGTTTTTTTTTGTTGCTACGCGATTTCTGTAATGTGCAAAGGAAGCTGGAATTTGTTTTTATTATAAAATAAATTGCAAGTCTGAGCTCAGTCCTAGACGTTAATAAACTGTTGTTAGATGATGTTATTAATTTATTTTAGTCTAAAAAACTACCTGTAAACGTGTTCTAATGCCAACTCAATTTATTGGTATCTACTTGTATATAGAAAACTGAAATATGCTAAATCAAACATTAAATAGCAGTACAATACAGTAAGTCAACCCATGAGATTGAGTTTTAATTTAGATATATGGACAGATAGATGTGTAATATGTGCAGTATTTTATAGGGCTGGTTTGTCTGACAATGAAAGACACCTTGTTGAAATAGTACTGGTATATGGTAGTGAAAAGTAGAGACCACCACCACCAAACTGTAATTCATTAACCCATCAAGCTGCTGCTGTAGTCCAGTGTTATAAATGTTAGGTACATTTTGTTCTTTGGAGAAACCATACCAACCTGAATGACGCCAATCTAGTAATGTATAGGCTACTTTTACACACTCTTCCAAACACAAATAAATATACAAAGTAGTTTCTAGATTCAACTCAACAAAAAGAGATCTTAAACAGCTTTTTATTACATTTTTCAATCAATAACAGTACAATTTAGTACAGTATCTATCTTGCATCCAGCTCACCGTGTAACACCAACAGACTGAAATGAAATACAAAAAGTGAAAAGGTACATAAGGGTGCAGAGCTCTATAATATTAATGGAAAGAGAAAAGGGAATCCATCTCAGTTGAATTGCATTTTCACTTGTGGCCACACACGAATACATCACATTTATTGTACATCATTGCAGAAAAAAGAAAAGTGAAAATATGTCACAACTTTAACAAAAGTGCTTCTGTATACAGTGAAATGTTGTCATTCAGATGCTCTGATTTTCAATTTAAGACCAAGAAAAAAAAAAATGTACAAAAGTTTTAGTATGGACAGTATGTGAGGACGTTTTTGTTCCATTGAGTGTGAAGATTTGAAGGAGAGAAAAGGACTTGTCAAGGATAGATTTCTCACAATGATTGTTATAATTATTACAAAAATTGGCATCAATAGAACTGGTAAGCATAATTTACACTAAGTATGCAATCAATATTAAGTCTTTCTCCATTCTTGCTCACTCTGGTGCATAGCATTACCAGTATTAGTATATGATGTATGCAGAGTTGGAGCCAAAAAAATTTGGCTTCTATTAAGTTCAATCAATAGGTTACTCTCCTTTTCAGAAACAAAAAAAGAATCTAGGATTTTGCACCATTGAAAGCAAGTCTACAGCATGCACATCTAAATTAACTCATGGCAGACAAAATTAAATGTCTTAACTTAAAACATCAGACCATTATTTTCAGACATTGATTTGTACATTTCATTCACAGAGTTGCAACTGCAGTCCCAAGCAAAGGAAGTGTCTATTTAGTCAGGTGAGGTGTTTCACTCAAAGTGGATACTAAACACAATCCCCCATCCATATAATAAAATCCAGCCATGCCCCAATTATCTCAGCACCTACCTTGCTACCCCACCCCTTCCCACCCAAAGTCAAAGGCATGTACAAGAATTAAGGGGGTTAACTGTGTAAGTTACTCGTAATAACTCCTTTTGTACTGGAATGAGCATTCATAACTTATAGCATGTGCTTGGTTAGTTAACATAGTATTAGTTGAGAGGCAAAGCTTCTTCATGTGCAAAAGGCTGTGATGAAACAAAAACAGCTAGTATATAAATACATCATGGACATTTTGAAAGCTGCTTGTGTAATATGATCCAAGCTTTTACTTGCATTACTTGCTGCATGTTTTCTCTCATCTGTCTTATATGATTTTAACTGGATTAGAAAGACAAGCTGTAATTCAAACATATCTAAAACCACTAAAGAAATATGACAAAAAAAAGAAAAGCCATCAAGAATAACAAACCATCAGAATAGAATTCTTTAAAAAAAAAAAAAAGTTAAATAATTTGTACAATTACACTCCAACATTTGCTTTCAAGACGCACACATTTGCATGGGATGATAGTGTTGTTTTTCTCTTTCAAGGTAACATAAAATGGTCCAAGAAGGAATGCACAAGTTTCTGATTTGATACCACAGGAGATCCTTTCTTAACTAGGTGATAAACAATTGTGCTCTTCTTTATGTAGGAAAGGCATTGGTTTCCCTTCGTTTTCGTGGTGTCCAAGTCAGTTTAAACAGTGTAGAAGAAGATGCTGTGAACATTCTGAAGTTGTTATGGTCTTCCAGTCAACTTTGGAGTTAAAAGAACATCTGGGAAACAAAGACAAATGAAATTTAGAATTTAACTAATCTAACCTGAGCTACAATTTAGCCAATTCAACCGTCCGTCAAGAGTCTTTTTAGACCGACTGGGCAAAGATCTAATGACAAGCAATCCCACAGACTGGCATAACAATGCGTGTTCAATATATGTACATCTACAACCAGTTTTTTTTTGGCCTCGTGGAGGAGCCTGCCAAATCCAAGAAATCAATTATTTGCCTAAGAATTCAGTGTAATGGAAAACTGCCAGTACGTTTTTGAAGTACTGTTACGTGTGTTAAGTTTGATGTTACTGTAAGTGGTTGAAATGCATATTTGAGGAGCACTAATTGGTCAGTGGAAGAGATGCACCTCCACCGTTGGGTTTGTTTCTCCCAACAGCGTGTCTTGTATGGAAAAAAAGAAAAGAAGAAACAGTTCCAGTTTTTTGACGTTTATATAGAGCTTACTGAAATTGTAGGGGCAAGAATGTTTTGCTGATTGCGAAAGTCAAAAGGAAATGCCAACATCCATTCAAGTTAACAGGTGTCTCAAACATGCAGCCCAGCAAAAGACAATTCATTGAACCCACACATCAACCTCCACTCCAGCCAAGCAAAAGATGAGGCTTCAACAAACATAAGCAACTACAGGTTTAGGACTAGGACTTTACAAAGAATAACCTTAGGTACAAATGTAAGAAAATTTGAAACAATTAAAAAAAAAAAGAAGAACCTTCAGGCTTCAATTCCAGATCTTCAGAAAACTGTCCCAGGATCCCGTTGCAACTGCCATGCCATCATCAGTAACTCCCAGGCAGCTAACACGGTTGTCATGTCCAGCCAACACACCTAGAAAGCACAACAATTATAATTTAGTCGACGGGATTAAAAAAAGACAGCAAACAAACAAGTACATTTCATCACTGTGCATGTCTAATTACTGATCCCAGTGGATATTTCTATCGTGGAGGAAAGGATATTGTTTCAGCTACTTACCAGCACGGTCAGCTTTTAGTGTGTCCCACACGTTACAGTTGAAGTCATCATATCCCGCCAGAAGAAGACGGCCACTCTTTGAGAATGCAACAGAGGTGATGCCGCATATGATATTGTCGTGAGAGTAGATCATTAATTCCTGATCAGCACGCAGATCAAACAGCCTGCAGGTGGCATCATCGGAGCCCGTGGCAAAGGCATTGCCATTAGGGAAGAACTAAAAAACAAAAAAACAACAACACTGAACTCATTAACACAGGAAAAAAAAAAACAGAAGTATATCTATATAAATAGCACCAAAGTATAAACTCAAAAGGCAAGCACAGAAACGTTTTGCACAACTTACACAGATGGCATTGATGTCAGACTCATGGCCGGTGAATGTCTGTCTGCACATGCCCTCTCGAACATCCCAGAGTTTAGCAGAGGCATCACAAGCACCAGAGACGAATAACCGGGTGTCAGGGGCCAATGACAGGCTCATGACATCACCTGTATGTCCAGCAAATGTGGTTGTCTGCTGGCCAGTCTCAATGTCCCAAAGTGCACTATGAACACAAAGCACACGATGAAGATCCCAGTTTCCCCGATGTCCTAGCTTTTGCATAAAAATGTTGACTTGATAAAAGCACTCAACGTAGGAAACCCTTTTACTCACCAAGTGGTATCTCCAGAGCTTGTAACAATCTGGTTGTCATCAAGAAAGCGACAACAGGACAGGTATCCTGATATTCAAAGAATCAATAGTGGAGTTATTAATAGATGATAACAGATGGATAACTAATAGACAAAAACATTAACAACTACAGTGAATATTCAACTACTGTATTTTTACAAACACGTAATCAGAATCATTTACAGTAAATAAGTCACCTCTTAGATTTCTATCTCAGTTTTGGTAATTATAGACACTGATATGAAAACTGTTTTAAAGTACCTTCTTTTGTCTAATTTAACAATTGTTGCTCGAGTTGTTCTGTAATTCCTTACTACATTTTTCTGTACGGCCTATGTGTTTGTTTTCCATGTCTAGGCTCCCAATATCTTCATTATCACAAAGAGTAGATTAGTTTAAAAACAAACATACTCCA